TTCTATAGAAAAAGGGAATGAGACCAGTGATGTAGGAAACTGTAATGTGATAACTCAGGAACAATATGCTCAGCTCATGTCATTGTTATAATGGAACACTATAACAACCAACATGGTGCAAAGTAGGGCTTCCGTCAACACAGACAATAAGATGCATGGGTTCTCTAGTAAGTTCTCCAATTTCAAAGTATGTATTGTAGAGTTAGAGGGATTATTGATACAGGTGCTTCAGGCCATAGTGTCTGTACACCTTATTTTTATACTGAAAATATGGTTGATGCTCTATGGTTGAGTTGTTGAATAGTGAGAAGGTTTAGGTTATTGTTATGGGTACTATAAAGATATAAGAGGATTTGATCATTAATAATGTATTGTGTGTAATCACTTTTAGTTTCAATCTTTAATCGGCCCGAAGATTGACAAAGTATTCACAATGTTGTTTAATTTTCTTATCTGAGATGTGTGTGATACAAAGTCTTCATATATGGAAGACAATTGGACTGGGTAAGTAAAAACGTAGACTCCATATTTTACAGCAAAAGAGAGACACTTTTAGTAAAGGACAATAAACTATTGCAGCCATTGGAACCCAAGAGGGTGAATTAAGAACAGATTTTGAGTTGTAACATTATCGCTTAGAGCACTCTATGCTGCCTAAGATAGGTTCTTTTTTGAAATTTTCTAAGTGTAAAAAACATGATATTTGTTATATATGTCCCCTAATTAAGATGAATAAATTGTCATTCAATGTTAGTGAATACAAATATAAAAATCATTTTGATCTTATACATTTGACATTTGGGAACTTTGCAACAAGGTCTCATATGATTAAAACATAATGAAGGAGAACGAGGTCGATATGATTTGGATAGAGAGTAGCCAGGGAAGACGAAATTGTTGCATCAGATAACATCTAGAAGGGAATTGAGCGGCTTCAGAGCTAGAAAAAGGCATTACAATGAACTGAATTTAAAACGTCTCTATTAAAATAGATAATAGAGCATAAGAGAAAAACGAATGGTGATGATTCTCGACCTCTCAAAAGTCGTGTGATTTTCTTCCTCATCATTCCAAAAGTATAAAATAAATAGGAGATCGCCACATCATAAACTGAGTGCCATAGTTGGAATTACCTCGGTATTCATCTTGTAAAGTGAT